GTGCACCAGGCATTGAGTTAGGTCCTTAAGGTACTAGGTTCTCAATCCTCTTTAGAATCCAGTGGGATGCCTTAACACATAGCACTAATACCTAAAGCCATCTCTAGAGACTTTGAACAGAGAATACAGCCTGGGCTAATAAACAACAAAGTTTGGAAGTATCAAAAGTAAAAATAACTCAAATGTCAAAAGGAATAATGAATGATACAGGACATCTGTTATAACAAGGTGAATCTTCAAAGCATCCTGCCAAGCCAGTTATAGAATGGCTCCATTTCTACGAAGCATCTACCATGGACAAATTCAGAAGGAAAAAAACAGGTAAATGAGTGGTTATTAGGGGTATGGAACTTGGAGAAAATAAGAAGTGGCTACTAGTGGGCTCAGGGTTTCCTTTGAGAGTGATAAAAACTGACTACAGGGGTGATTGCATAAGTATAAACACACGGGACTGCTGCATGGGTTTAAGTGGATGAACTGTGTGGCGGGTGGGTTATATTTCACTTAAACAGACTCTTCAGAAGGCAGCTGTTGCTGGACTATAATGATATGAGTGTGAGTCAGTCATCAAAGGGGCCTGGATAAGACAGGCTAGGTGCTCAGAATCCAGCCTAGGCCCTGGATTTGTCTTTACACTACAATGGTCTGGACTAAACAAGCTTATATTCTAGAACAGAGGGCCTTTCACAGCTAGAGAGGTAAGCTCAGTGGTAGAGTTCATTCATGCAAGGGCCTGGGTCTATTCCTAGCAACCCAACCACCAACCCCAGAAAAAAAGAGTAACACAGAGCTTTGTGACATCAGTATTATTGTTCATGTTTTTTTAAAAAAAAGATAAACTAACATTGTGCTGCTTTCTGCTGACAGGATTATTCAAATTCTTTTTTTTTTTTTTGGTTTTTCGAGACAGGGTTTCTCTGTGTAGCCCTGGCTGTCCTGGAACTCACTCTGTAGACCAGGCTAGCCTCAAACTCTCGAACTCAGAAATCTGCCTGCCTCTGCCTCCCTAGTGCTGGGATTAAAGGCGTGTGCCACCACAGCCTGGCAATTATTCTAATTCTTAACATCATTATAGCAAGACATATACAGAGAAGCCCAATATAGGAGTTTGTTTTGGTTTTTCTGAGGGACATACTCTCATAAGACTGTACTTTCCATAAATTTAAACACATTTTTGCTTTCCCATCTATAAAACATACCACTGTCAACTGTCCAAGTCTTGGCTTCTTAAAGCCCTCCTTCCTAAATGCTGCTGGCACTTATGGCAATGAAGCTTCAGTACCTTCTGAATCTCACATCATCAAAATAAACTCTCCTACATGTCACAGTAATACGATCCCCTTTACAGTCACGGAGGAAGCAACACAGGATAGTCATTATCAAACTCTATCAAACTCACCTCCACTCAAGTGTTCAGCATCCTCTGAAGTGAGTGACCCAGGCAAGGATCTGGACTTATAGAAAATTCAGGTAAATAATCCGACGAACCCTAAAGATCCTTATCCTTTGAAGTGTATTTAACTCAGAAAAATCAGACAATAATTCCTAATAAAATTTAACAGTAAAGACCAGGAAATAAAGTAGCTAATCTTCAAATGTACTCATATCAAAGCTCCAGGTAAACCAGAGAGCCCTGAGCCCTCATAATGCTGCTTTCAACCAAGGCAGGGCCTTAGTGTTTAGTTTGAGTGAACAGGTTTCTGCTAGGTGTGTTCAATTCACAGGCCCCCAACCCCAAATCTACCTTTCTTCAAACTAGTCTTACCCTGTTGATCACACTGTATCCTTACTTACTACACATAATTTTGATCATCCCCAAAATAAACACAAAAGACCATATGAAAAACAAGGCAAAGGCAAAGATACCCACAGCTAAAAGATTTAACTAAGAAAAAGGGTAAATGGTCACTGGAAAATGTGAAGCAGACTCTCAAACACTGCTTTAAAAACGATTATTACAGGGAAAAAAAACATACTGCCTCTCCAAATGAAAGTCGCCTGGACCTGCCTCTGTCTTCCTGGACAGGACGACGGGCACCAGCCCACTGCCGGTTTACTCACTCCTGCTGTAATTGAAAGGATCCACTCCCTCTCACATGGTTATTAACAGCCTAGGTAAGTGCAAAGGGTGTAGAGCCTAGCCTTTATCATCCCAGTCTCTCTCCCAAATCCCCCCACCCCACCCCCACCCCCTTTAATCTACCAAGTTAAAAGGGAAGCTTTGTGGTTCTGCTTTAAATTCCGTTTTGTTCCAGTTTAGAAGACTCAGAGCCCTTGGAGTCAGGCTAAATTTGAATTCTATCTTTAATACAAAACAGTTGGGTCACCTGGAGGAGTACTGGCCTCTCTGCGGAGCTTCTCGCCTAACCTGGAAAGAGAAGATAAAAAGTCTTTGGGGTGTGTGTGGGCCGAGAGGGGGTTACTGAGAAATTATACATCCGAGACAATTTCCATATTGTTTGACTTGCAAGGGAGTGTTCACTAACCTTAACAAGTCTAACATGTAAGTTGTTCCTGGATCCTCAAGCTAATAACCCTGGTTTGAGACAAAATTAAGAAGAATGTATTTATGAAAATCTTTTAAATATGTTGGACTGTGACGGAGGAGATGTCTAGAAATAAGGGTAACCAAGTGCTCCCTTTTCCTGCAGCTTTGCTGAGCATGACACATCCTAAATAAAAATAAATATTAAGAAAAACCACGTATCTGGCTTTCGACCTTCCTGCTAATCCTAAAAGACGGCTGTTCCACAGCATTGTTTTCAAGGATCACTGTTAATACAAATGGAATTTCAAGCTGGCCCTAGTTATTTTTAAGGCAGAGGCTGACGTAGCTGTGTGCTCATCCACCTACACCTTCTGTAATGTCACAGAGATCCAGAGATGCTCTACAGATCTAGAAAGTCAAGTCTTTCTCAGGTTGTTCTCTCTTCCTTCATTCTGGAGAGGCCAATCCCATGTGTCTTTAAAAATAATCTCATATGTCTCATTCAAGATCAACTTCATCTCTTGTCTTCAACAAAAGTATTTTATCTTTCCAAGGGAAAAGTAATGGATGGTTTCCCCTGAGATGAAGAATCATTGAATCTACTATGAGCACAGTTAAAAAAATGTATCCTACTACAACTGCACAACTGACTTCTCCAACCATTTGTCCAATTCTGTAACTCAATTCCAAATCCTTCTGGACTATCAGACAATGCTTTTAACATGAATTATGATGTTAAATTATCTCCTCAAAGTCTTCAAATATTTAAATCAGTGTCTGGAAAGAACTAGAAATGTCTTTGGCAAACAAAACTTTCATATAGAAGAGAAAGCAGTACATCTGCCATTTCTGTAAATGAAATGTTATTCTACACAGAAAAGAGAAAAAAAACTTTACAGTCAAAGTTCATTTGCACCGTGTATCCTGTGGCCAGAAAGCATTCCTTTTGATTATTAATGAAGGGAAGAAATCAAAAAGTACAGTTTACTTATTCATCCTAATGAAAACCAGGCTACAGCCCCAATCATTTCTGGGGCCAAGTTCAAGGGAGGAGGAGTAGAATTAATGCATTGTCAGTAACTTTAAAGCTTACACCAAGACCTTCCAAGTCAGCCGAAAACTTTACATTTAAACTAACTTATTGTTTACCGGGTTATACCTTCCCTTGAGCTAAATGATTTCTTTTTCTAACAATCCAGTGCTGACCTTTTTTTTTTCCCGGCAACATAAGCATTTACTTCTTTAAAAATGCCTGAAGTATAACCAGAAACTGGTTTTCACTTACATAACAATCTTCAAAACTTAGAAAGTGTTATGAAACGCAAGCGTCCCATTCTGTCTTCATAAAAGTGCGCAACACACTAAGAAAATTTAGGAAGACTCTCAAACAGCAAGGAAAAATGTATTAAAGACACAGGGGAGGGATAATAAATAAATGCTAAAAGCAAAACTTCTGCAACAATATAGAAAGCAACAAATTCTAATCTATTACTCTTACCCTTGACGGCAAGGAACAGAATATCCTGCCTTATACATTTTGGTATTGCAACTCTGTAATGCTAAATCCAAAGACAAAGCCGCCCAGGGGAAAATAACAATTGCGCAACTGATCAACAGCTCCAACTTGTCCCTTGGCCCCAGAGCAGCGAGGTTTGCACGCTATAGAGCAGGAAAGGGCCAACCGAGGGCCTCTGTGACTGCCAACTGGCCGTTGTAAGCCATCCGGAGGCCACAGCCACGCACACTACGTGGGGCTGCACGTGTCACGATACTCGGAACACACAGCCCCGCATGGGGCCGACTCGGACCTCGGAGCCCCCCGCTCAGGTCTGCACGTCCTTGCGCCCGGGGCGAGATCAGCCCCGAGTTCCCAGGCCGAGAGAGCGCGCGGAGCCGTGCCGGCAGGCCGGTCGTCGGGGCGCCAGAGCACGGGGGCCACCCGGTGACTTTCTCCTCCGCCCCCGGAGGGCTGGGCTTTTCTAGATCAAGACGGACAGGCGTGATCCTACCGACGACCAGCTCTCCGGCTGAGGCCATAGACGGCCGAGCACACAGCGTCGTAGGACGGGGGTTGGGGAGGGCTTCCGGGCCGACGCCGACGAGAGACCTCAGCTCCCCCGAGCGCGGCCCCGTGACTAGGCACATTTTTTTACCGGCACCGAATCTGGGAAACTACGCTGCCCCGGAAAAGACCGGGCGGTGCCGGCTTATTCCGCCAGCATCCACCTCCTCCCGCCTCTCACCCAGAGAGGCAGTGGTGTCGCTGCCTGGCCCCGCAAAGTCCGAGTTTCCTCTACACCCCAACCCCGCCGCCCCTGGGGACCTCAGGCTCGGACGCCACACTCGTCGCGGCCCCAACATTCTCCGTTGCCCTCCCAGCCCGGCGGGGCAGTTCCCAGGCCCTGCCGTCGTAGTCCTGGCTCAGACTGTCCCTCCCTCCCAGGGCCACTGTCCCCTCGAGCTCCTGCCCGCTTCCTGGCACAACCGAGGGGCCGGAAGGCGGGGGCAGCACCTGTTGGGACTGTAGTCCTGCCGGTGGCAACTCCAAGTCCATCATGCTGAGGGCGAACGCTGCGGTAGGGCTCCCCGACGGCGAGGCTACTGGCAGCAGAGCTGAGGCGGCGGCAATGGCTATTCCGAGCTGCAGGGAACCAGCAGATAGCCTGCTCGGTGGAGTGGCCAGCTTTAGTCCGCCCCGCCCCCGCCCCCTGGGGGCGGAACAAGTACCTAGGGACCGGACAAGAACTTAAGAGGCGGAGAAAGGGCTAGGGCAGGAGGCAAGGGCCAGAGGCGGGACAAGGGCATGGGGCGGGGCAAGGGGCGGGGTAAGAGCTTGGAACCGCGCACAAGGGCCAGGGGCAGGGCAAGGACCCGAGGGTCCCGCAAGGGCCTAGGGCGGGGCAAGGCTAGGGGGATAAGACGGGGGCCAGGGGGAGGAGCAAGAGCCTGGGGGCGGGGCAGGGACCTGAGAGTTTCCGGCCGGAGTTCCCGCGTTCCCCTAGGCCTCCACTATTGACCCTCCTCTTGCGGTCCGGGGCTTGGCGGAGTCAGGTGGGCTGAAGTCACACGGGGGCGGGACGCGAGCGGGAGGCCCTCGGCTCCCCAGTCCTCTCTAGGACAGCACCTCCTTGCTAGAGATTAGCAGCTGTTTGCCGAAGGTCGCTCCGGCCCTGGCTCTTTGAAGCAGTTTAAACAGTTGGAGCAAACACACCGGGAGCCCGGGCCCCTGCGCTGCTATCGGAGCTGCGCCTCCCTGATTTGGACCCGCAGAACCTTGCCCGCTTTATCTCGCTCCACCGGCTGACTGTGGCGCCAGTCCGGGGGTTGGGGCTCTGAGCTGGGACCAGGACTTTACAAGGGGCCAACTGCTCTCTGGCCTCAGGTCCTGCTCAGTTGCTGGTGCCCAAACACCTCTGTCCCAGGGAGATGGATGAGTCCACGCTGCAAACTCGTGCTCGCTTACTCGAAGGCCCTCAACTTGACCCACGTGCCTTCGGCTCCTGGCCCAAGCGGTCACTCAGTGTCACTTCACCCACCCAGAGCCCAGCAAGCGGGCACAGCTCAAATAAAATCACCGAGGTGGATTCTAAGACCCACAGGGTTCCTTTCCTTGTACTTATTTTATTTGGGAATTTTGAGATAGGGTCTCATAAAATCCAGGTGGCATTAACTGTGATCCTCCTGCCAACATCTCTCAAGAGCTGGTATTAGAGCAGTGTTTCTCAACCTTCCTAATGCTGTGACCCTTTAATATAGTTCCTGTTGTGGTGACCTCCAACTATAAAATTATTTTTGCTGCTATTTTATAACTAATTTTGTTACTATAAATCGTAATGTAAGTATCTGATATGCAAAACCTCTGAGATGCTTGGAGTGGTTATCCACAGGCTGAGGACAACTGTACTATAGAATCTGCCACTAGGTTTTGGTGGTGGTGGTGGTGGTAGTGACTGTTTTTACAACGTTCATCCCCAAACATACATCCCTAACTGCCCCTGAAAAAATTCAATTTCTAAAATAGTTATATGGGCTTAGAAGAAAAAATAGAGGGATGTTTTAATGTGTTAATAGTTGAAAACCCACAGAGTATTTTTACCTTTCTCTTTGTTGTTTTAAGTGTGTTTGAAACTCACACCTATCTTCTTTTGAGATGTATTTTAAAAGCCATTACCCTATTATGGGCCTGGGGTCAGTTAGAGATTCACCAATCTGACCGTTAATACATTTTAACAAAGAAGAGTCTCTTACTCAGATACTAGCACTAGGTCTACAGCTGGGACTCGGGATTCCTGAACGCAATGCCCAGCCATTTGTTCTCTAGCAAACAGAAGCTCCTCTCCAGCAAAACAAGCTTGTTTACAGAAACAGAAACAAACAGAAGCAGCAGCAAGAAAAAATTAACCCTTAACAGCCCTTAACATTTGGAGGTCTAATTTTGCTTTATAGCCCACTTAAGCACAGAAAATTTAAACTTTTGAACATAGAAGTTAGCCATCAACATAATATTACTGTCACATTTCCCACCCCCTTGACCCTGGGCCAAATCCTTCACTCTGTAGTGGGTACCTGTTTATATTGAGACTTAATTATAATCAGCTTAATGGTTCCTAAGTGACAATTTATATATCTGGTTAAGGCATTAATGATGCAGGGGCCAACTTCAATCAGCAGAAGCTGGAGAGCTAAGGGCCTTGTGACAATTGACAACCAGCTGTGTTACTAGCCAGAAAGAACTTGAGAAAGAAAATAGGAGTCTTTTACTTCCTCCTTGTAGGGCCTTTTCCTTCTCTCTATGAGGCTTTTTTTTTTTTCAAAGCCAAACTACACTGAATAGTTTGCTTAGTAGTTTGCATAGAAACAGCAAGTTTCCCCAAGGTCATACAGTAACCTCTTGTCTCCATAAAGCAGGTCGAGTGCCCTACCATGCTGTTAGACCTCCTGCAGTTAATGAATTGACCTGTTCTTCTAATTTTACAGTAGACCTTTCCGATGCAAATAAATCCTGGGTTACCTGACATCCTAAATTTTTGTAATTGATATCAAGCCATTGTTGTGTCTGTTGCCAGAAGAATGGCTGCAGCTGTTAGAATGGCTGCTGCCAATCCTAAGTTTACTATGAGGGGTAGAAGGAGAGGAACTGCATGTTTCGGCCCCAGGAGGCTGAAAAGATTTGCAAACACAAGTACTCTCTCTGTGCCATACCATCGTATAGAAACATCTGAGGAAATACGAATACTAATAGACAAAATTTGGAGCCTTGATACACATGCCAAAGAGCTAAGAAGGGATGTAATTCATCATTATATGCAAACCAAAGAGTTTCAACCCAGAGGTGAAGAAAGGAATGCCCACCTGACAACTGGTGCCCAGGAACTGTGAGACAGTTACGGCAAGTTTATATTTGCTCTTAAAAGGGGAGGGAACATAGACAAAACATTATTAGTCTATAACTAATACATGATGTGACAGCTACGTGTGAGTCTTTAGTGGATCTTCTCAGGCCTTGGTGACAGTCCATTTTTCTGCAGCAGGATCAGCATCTCCTGTGACGTACCTGATCTGAAAGTGATGTATCCAGGTGTGGCTATCTCGACAGGAGCAGGGTGGTAAGGATGATGAGGTACGGGCCTTCCAGTGGAGTCCCAGTTTCCTTTAGATCTAACATTCCAGCCTTTTGTTGAGGATAAGGGGAGATGTACTATACTCTGTAACTGCTTCTCAGCTGAAATTAGTGTGTCGTCAGGGCCTCAGAAGGCTGTAATGCCAATCAAAGGCCAATGGGTGGGGCTCTAGACGGGAGCTGAAAAGACAGGGAGCAATCACATTAGCTGTACTGATTTATATCAGCTTTCAGCAAGCTCACAGTTGTTTGGAGCAGTTTGTAGTCTACAGTCTGATCCTGGGTGGTGCCCATCAGTTAAGTGGACAGAAGTTAAACTTTAAGAACTTAAAGGAAAAACTTACATTTAGAACTTACCGCCTCAGGAGTAAGCAGTAGGCAGGGAAGCTTAGGCTGCTGATTGACAAGAATTCTTATCTGGAGTCCATTTGACCTGTGATAGGTGAATCCAAGTCTTAATTCCCTGGAGTGTACATGAATTTAAAATTTACAAAAATTTTAGATATACTAGCATTACCACTGTTTGTAATCTGTATAGAAGTGCACATTGTAGAAACAGCAGCTGACCTATACCTTTGAATCATACTAAAAGCTTTGGGACCCAAAACATTATTTTTAGTTAAAAGCATTAACACATTTCCTCTGTCCAGAGGACTGAATTACACATATACACACACACATACACACACACACACACACACGAATATGACAGAAATGTTTTTAGCACAAAAATGTACCTTTTAGTCTATATTTAGAAAATAGTCAAAGGAAATTTTAAAACTTTGAGCTTATGACTATAATAGTAGTCTGTGATTTACAAGAGCCAATCAGAACACCACTGATCTAAACCTTTACAATCCCAACATCATGTATCAGCTCTTGGTTTTATTATTATTTGCTCAGACCCTTCCAACTTACATAAACCTCAAACCTTTTCCATTTGATCATTTACCGTAAGACACAGGGGTTGATTACTGAGAGCAGTCATTGCAATGTAAGTTCTTTAAATAGAAGAATTGTAAAGGCTACGTGGAAATCTGTTTTGTGAACTTGCCTTTTTCAAACCAGGAGACCCAACAGCTCTAGAAAAGGCAAAGCCTGATTTTCATATATGAAATTCATGGACCAGACAGTTGCTGGTAAACTGATAAAGCTCTGTACAGCCATCAACCATCAGTGATTGGAGAAGGAGAAATCTGAGCAGGCCATATAAACCAAATGGCCTCTGTATTAATAAAATGACAGGTACTTACCCACTATCTGGACGATTACTATAGGCTCCTCCTCAGCAATCTCGGCAATCTCCTTGGATGCAAAATGGCTTTAGCCTCCAGCTATCACACGAGACACCACTAACTTTGATTGCTACACAGGGCAGCATCAGCCTTCAGCTGCCAGGCACAAAAGAGACTTTCCTGTGGGTTAGAAAATTGAGAGGCTGGCCTACCTTGATGAGGTAATGAGGGACAGTCAATACTCCAGTGTCTGAGCAGTCTGTAGCCTCAGCAGGGTCCTGGAGATGAGTGAAATACGGGGTAGTGTAGCCCATTGGTTAGTGTTACCACAATTCAGGTGGAGTCATCTTTGGAGGAGATCTTGGGGTTGCCTCTAGAAGCTGGATTTTTTTTTTTTTTGTTAACACAGGAAGCCTTTAAATTCCATATTCAGCATATCTCTGAGGACTTTTTGAAGTGTATCTATTAAGTACATCTGACTTTAAACAAACTTTACTTGTTTTTATAGTTATTTGTTTTAAGCTTATCCTTGAAAGCATGCAAAGATGTTTAAACAAAGTTTACCCCTGTTGATAAATTATATTTGTTCTTAGCACTACTACAACCATAGTTCTGACCATGTTGAAGAATTTGATCATTTATAAAGTGATTGACTATTAACCTGCATGTCCTCTGTCAGCTTATATTTTTCAAAACCTACTTTAACAAGTGTACTTAAGGGCTGGTGAGATGGCTCAGCGGTTAAGAGCACTGACTGCTCTTCTAGAGGTCATGAGTTCAAATCCCAGCAACCACATGGTGGCTCAGAACCATCTACAATGAGATCTGATGCCCTCATATGGGTGTCTGAAGACAGCTACAGTGTACTTAAAATTAAAAATAAAAAAAAAAAAAAAACAAGTGTACTTAAATGCTTTAACCCCCCTTCTAGCCCACCACCCACTAGAGATAGTGTAAAGGAAAGGTCAATAGGGCAAAGGAGGATGTGGACTTGTTTAGAACTAATTCTTTGAAGCAAATCCATTCTTTGTTGTCAGGATATTGGCAGTTCAGAACACACAAACCAGCAGCAGTAACTCGACCCACTGGCAAACACCATTCACAGAACCAGCAATGGCATTTTGATCCAGAAGAAACTGTGAGGCTATGCCAATCAGCTTGAGTCAGGGAAAGTATCAGGAAGCCTCCAGAATCCCACCAGAAGTCCTTCTGTGCGTTTCTTTCTATGAACTCATGACAAACGATGAACAGCACAGAGTAACAAGGTGAGCCATTACCACACAGTGTGTCATCCACTGTCTGTTGGGTTATACCTATACCCATTCTAAATGTCACATGTTCTCTCAAGCATCCACTCTAGGAAAATAACACATGCCTTTTTTTCTGGCAGCTTCAAGAAAAACACCACATGTCTGTTCTCAGCAAAACATCTTCCTGTGTGTCTACTTCAGCAAAAACATTCTCTCATAAGACAATTTCCAGAAAAGTATCACATGATATAACTGAGTCTCCAAAAAAATCAGAAATTTCCACTTCAGTCCTACCTATAACCTTAAAAAATTGCAATTTTTGAGTTGAAGCTCCTTTCATTCCAAAATAAAAATTTAAATCATAAATCTATCCCACAGAGAGACTGTGAACCTTAATTTTTGATCTTTTTATAGTACATCATTATAGAACGTTACTGTGTCTTGTATGAATCAGTTTATCCAAATAGCTAAAGCTTAGCAAAGTCAGCAGAGACAAGGAAATCAGATATTCATTTTCAAGTCAGTTTCTGTTAGCCTGAATAGATTTAGGTAAGGAGAGATATTCCATAGGTTCTTCCAAACTGCTTAGGGCAATGTCATGCTACATTGTAAGATAGGAATATCTCAGCTTCTGGTGCTCAGAAGCTGTGACCCTAATTCCTTAGCTTTTTGTCTCCTTCCCCATGCTTTTTTCTTTTCTCCCCTTTCGTCCCAGTTCACCCTGTTTCTTGAGCCTCTGTTATTCTTTAACTAGAATAATACAGATCTCTCTACGTCTCAGTCTATCCAAAAGCCTGGCCAGATCCTATTTCATGACTTCAAACCTTCAAACCTCTGCTGGTCTTTTTTTTTTTTTAAGATGTATTTATTTTATGCACATGAGTACTGTAGCTGTCTTCAGACACACCAGAAGAGGGCATCGGATCCCATTACAGATGGTTGTGAGGCACCGTGTGGTTGCTGGGAATTGAACTCTGGAAGAGCAGTCAGTGCTCTTGTTGCTGGGCCATCTCTCCAGCCCTCTGCTGGTCTTTTAAAGTCATATTTGTAACCAGAAGATCCAGCTAGGTATGCTGGATAGTAACTGTCAGGTTGGCATCAAAATCTGGCCTGAGGCAAGTAGCCCCTAAGCCAGGAGGCCTGGGCTGGCTTGCTTTCTTTCTTTCTTTCTTTCCTTCTTTCTTTCTTTCTTTCTTTCTTTCTTTCTTTCTTTCTTTCTTTCTTTCCTTCTTCTTCTTCTTCTTCTTTTTTTCCTGAGACAGCTTCCTTTCTGGAGCTTTCCTACTTATTTTTGTTTCTGGAAACAATTTCTGTCTTGGACCTTTTAAATGGATTTCTCAGGCCTAGTACTCTGTGTCCTGAGCTGATGTACCCTATTAGCTCAGGTACATATCTGGGTATAGCCCTAAATTTAAAATAAAAACTAGAATTGGCAAAATTATTAGAATAATCTTTGAATATATCAAATCACTGATGCTTGAAGACTCAATGAATTTTGAGAACATACAAGGGCAAACATTTTGGTTTAACCCATGACATTATTCTGAGATAAAGCTGACTTGTTATTTAGTCACATTTTCCAAAAGAGCAAAGAGTTACTGAACACAGTAAACAAAACCTCATTCATGCTGCTTTGATTGATTTGCTTTGTATTTTTTAGCCATTATAGCCTTTTCAGTGTTGTTCCCCCCACCTTTTTTTTTTTAAATAAACCTTGTTTTCTTGAATTTCTTCCTCATCTGTTATTTTTATTCTCAGGACAAGAATCACCACACAAAAATCCATCCCAATCTAAAATATCTTAGAGACCCACTGTTATCTAAAACATCCATTTCTTTAAAACAAGAGACAAATCCAGGTTACACATACAGTAGGCAATAATAAATTAAGGTTATTCATGTATAGATTTCAACCCCGGTGCTATAAGTTTTAATCTTTTATTAAATATTTTACAGATCTTTAACCATACCCAATAAACTTACAAATCTTGAGTTACAGAACATTTACATATTAGTCTTAATAAATCTTCAGGTAAGATTCACATATTAGCAAACCAAAACCAAAAAGAGGATGAGATGAGGAACAATAATCCCCACTGGAAATAGTCTCTCCTTTTGTCCTGTTCTGCTCCCCTTTCTCTGTCACATAGTCAGGTGGCTCCCCTGACAGGGGACAGAGATTTTGGAGGAAACCTTTAAACAAACATGTTTGAGTCTAGAGGAGTGAGAGCCATAACCCAACTCCAGAACCAGCTTTTCATTGAAGTAGAACAGCATAAAACTACAATTTAATATTACACATACCTAAAAGACATCTGAATCTCTAGAAAATTGAGTCCAGTGACCAGGGGGAAGAAACAGTAAGCTGAGAGCAAAGAAGGCCTAGAGATAAGATTTAAAATAAAAAATAAAAAAAGATGCAATGCCACAAACACAATCTAGGCAACACAAAACAGACTGACAAAACTCTACAACTTGGTATCATCCAGACAAACCAAAATTAAACAAGGGCCAGTGTGAGGCACCCCAGCAGTCCCTCTGACTTGGGAATCAGCAGTGTGTCGAGCCCTTCTACAAGTTTCACACATGCACACTACGAACAGAATCCTTATCTATACCACTGGAAGTTTTCTGATGCCTCTGTTCTCACAATCTAAATGTTGAGAACCTGCTGGTGGTTCCTTCCAAATGCTAGGCCTATCTGATTTCTTGGCTCCCAGAAGGCCAGGAGCCTCCAGGTTTCCAAGGTCAGCCAAAAAAAAAAAAAAAGAAGGTAGATCCAGCTAATTCCCAAATCTCAGACAAGTCCCCAAATGTTATAGGTCTGGGTTGTTCAGAGATTCGCCAGTCTGACCACTAATAAATTTTAACAAAGAAGAGATTTTTATTCAGACACTGGCACCAAGTCTATACCTAGACTAGGAATTCCCAAATACAATACCCAGCCAGCTCAGTCAAAGGTTTATAAAGGCAAAGAATACAAAATAACAGATTGTTCTCTTACAAACAGACGATTCTCTCATGCAAAACAAAATTGTTTATGCAGCAGAAATAGCAGTAAAAATTTTAACCCCTAATAGCTCCCTTTTTTTGGGGAGAGGGAGTGTAGAGACAGGGTTTCTCTGTATAGCCCCAGCTGTTCTGGAACTCACTCTGTAGACCAGGCTGGCCTCAAACTCAGAAAGCCACTACTGCCCAGCTCCCCTAATAGCCCTTAACATTAACAAGATCTAATTTTGCCTTATAGTTCTCTTAAGGACGAAGATTTTAAACTTTTAAACATAAGTTAGCCATTAATGTTAGTCTTCACAACCCTAAGTCAGGCATGGTGGCACATGTCATTAAGTCCAGCATTTGGAAGGCAAAAGCAGGTGCATCTCTGAGTTCAAGACCAGCCTGGTCTAGAGAGGGAATTCAAGGACAGCTAGGGCCACACAGAGAAACCTTGTCTTAGAAAAACAAAACAAACATCAACAACAAAAAATAAAAACATTACCCACACTGCGTGGGTATAATGGCGCCAGAGTTTAGTCTCAGTGTTGTGTGACATGGCTAACCTCAGATAGGGAGCCCATGACAGACCAAAGTCCAATTTGGTGAACCAATACGTTTTATTGGGATTAGTCTCTGGAGTATGGCTAAGGGGTTACTTACTGTTAGGCTGGCATCCATGTTCTTGCTACAGCTCTCACTGTATTGTAAAGCACCCCCTTACCCAGACAGCACCAAAACCAAGTCCTAGGTAGCGCCAGCCCCCTTCCTGAATGACCACCAGGCACTCAAAACAGGATCTTATATGGAAAAAGATCAAGCTATTGCCTGACGTGTCACCCTTCCTCTTGCCTGGGACTA